CCCGGGATGGCCCTGACAGGCAGGGTAGGACTATCGACTGTCACAGTCTTTCTGTTAGGATATTGTATCCCACTCAGCCCGGGATGGCCCTGACAGGCAGGGTAGGACTATCGACTGTCACAGTCTTTCTGTTAGGATATTGTATCCCACTCAGCCCGGGATGGCCCTGACAGGCAGGGTAGGACTATCGACTGTCACAGTGTTTCTGTTAGGATATTGTATCCCACTCAGCCCGGGATGGCCCTGACGCCTCCTAAAGTATCTAAATTGTGTCGAGGGAGGCGTGAACACATTCACATTTGTGGGTGGTTGGCGGGTGCTCTGGTGTGGTTTTCTTCTTCTTTCTGAAACATCTATCGTCCTTATCTCCCCTTCTCCTTGTTTTATGTTTGTTTCTCTCTTGTATTTGTAACACCTTTTATCTTCAGGCGCTCATATGACCCTATGGAGCTGCTACGGCCGAAAAATCTCTTCTATTAAAACCTATAAAACACCCACATTGAAACAAAATCGTCAGCGCTAGCCAAGCTGGACATGAAATGTATATTCTCTGTCGTCATCTGTCCAGTTTATGGTCATTCTTTGAACCATTTTCTGCTGCAAATGAAGCAAATTTTAATCAACTCCTCCGTTAGTCCGTCGACTTGTAAACGAAAAAAAAAATAATAATCAAATTTTAAAAAAGCTAACCAAGCATCAAAGCAATTATTCATGTGTCGAATGAGGAAAATATCTCTCTGGCATTTTAATGGTTTAAGTGGGGGTTGGAGGGGAAGGGCGGAAGAGGGGGGGGGGGGTGAATTCAGCTTCGTAAAGAATGTCGGGCAATGACAACGTATAACTGCTGGTGAAAACAAAGGCTACACAGGAATTTTAAAGCATACATTGAAACAGGATTGAGATAAACAGCATTACCATTCATATACTTGAAATGCTTCTAAGTAGTTTTGCAGTACAATGTGCATGTATTGTTAAAAATTTTTATTCCCAATGTACTTTCATAGCATAGAAATTTAACTGTACACCAAATTTCTACGAGGAAGAAAAGTATCGGTATGGTGTTTTTAGTCATTGTGGATAAAAATTTCGAAAATTAATAACATGATTTCTTTTAAATCTTTTTTAAAAATTCTTCCTGTGCTAGAGACTGTCATCTCAACGGAAGTCCCCAGTGGACAATATCCTGGTCGTGGTGGACATGCGCGGCACAGGAAGGGAAATAATGTGGGGACCTGGACTCGTCTTCTGGGCAGAGGTTGTCTGTCTGTCTGTCTGTCTGTCCGTCTGTTAGATAGGGAGTCCAAGGGTTTATCTTTTATGGTACAATACATTAATTGTTAATAGTTTTTCTGTTAACTTGCATACATGCATTTGCATTTTGTCTTTTACCTTTTAACATAAAGTATATTTTGGATCATTGTCGCAGAAAAATAACTCAAGCACAGACACATGTACATGTACATTGCGTAATTGTGAAAGTATACAAATAAATGCTTTTGTGTAGCTGCAAATTTTTTAGAACATTTTCCCCGTTTCCACCTTTTTGCTTTCAGTATTTTTTGTTTTAAAAAAGATGGAACACCCACCCTAACGAACAAATAAACAAACAAACAAATAAACGAATAAACAAAATATTCAGTTTGATTATGATCAGTAAAATTGATCACCATCTATCTATCTATCTATCTATCTATCTATCTATCTATCTATCTATCTATCTATCTATCTATCTATCTATCTATCTATCTATCTATCTAATAACCATCTGTCTATCTATCTATCTATTGATCGATCGATCCCATCCTAAACTCCCCCCAAAGGTTATTCAGCTGGTACAGAACTACTACCCTGGTCTAGTGAAGGAGATTGTAGTCATCCACCCGCCTCCCATCTACCCGGAAATCTACCTGGCCTTTCGCCCATACTTCAACCGCAGACTTCGGGAACGGATCACTGTCCTAGGGGCCAACTATTTCCAGTGAGTGGCGTCCATACTCTCATTGATTACAAATACGGTCTCTGCAAACTCTTTAGGAGGAGGAGGAGGAGGAGGAGGAGGAGGAGGAGAAGAAGAAGAAGAAGAAGAAGAAGAAGAAGAAGAAGAAGAAGGAGGAGGAGGAGGAGGAGGAGGAGGAGGAGGAGGTAGAAGAGGCAGGAGAGGGAGGAGGAGGAGGAGAGTGTTTTTGCTACTGTTTTTTGTGTGTTATAGTTGTTTTCTTTTACTTAATTTCATTTACTTTTTTGCATATATTTCAATTCTATGTATTATTATGTATTTATCATCATCTTACAGTGCCAGATCTGCGACAGACTTTGGCGATCATGGTTCTCCATTCATTCCTTTGCTCGGATGCTCTTAAAAAAGCTACGTTTCCCTCGTCTTTCCCAGTTACCCATTTGTTTAGGTTCCCTAAGTAGGTTGCTCTGGGCCTACCCTTGCCTCGTTTGCCTTCAATTTTGCCAGTGAGAGCTAGATGTTCAAGACCCTTATGTCTATTCGGGTGTCCAAAAAACAAACAAACTGCATTTGTCGTTTCGTGATTGTTTTTAACATTGAGCGTCCCACGTGGGCTTCATCAAGCACTACCTCATGTGATTTCTTTTCCTTCCACGATACTCTTAGCAGTCTCCTAAGAAACCACATTTCTTTTCCTTCCACGATTTCTTTTCCTTCCACGATACTCTTAGCAGTCTCCTAAGAAACCACATTTCTGTTGCTTATATTTTATTTGCAATGTCTTTAGTGATTGTCCAGCATTCAAAACCATATTGAAGGGTCGACTATACATAGCACTTCAGGACTTTCATTTTGGTAATCATTGAGATGTTTCTATTTTTCAGAATTGGGCTCATTTTATTGAAACTAGCCTTGGCAATTGTAATTCTCCGTTTTATTTCTGTGGAACATTTGGCATCAGATGTTATCATACATTCTAGATATTTAAACTGTTGGACTTATTTGATCATTT